TAAACTAAATTAACAATCCCAGCGGTGCCTCCATTTTATGTAGCACCCGTATCACCACTCTGTGAGTCACTCACGTGAGAATGGGGGGTGCTTGGGTTCGATGTATCGTAAAACCTTTTAGCAAGAAGCTATTTAAAAAATAAATGAGACCCAGAGATGGATGTTCTTTTAACAAAAGTAAAATAAATAGGGCAACGCCCTTGTTTATTTAAATACAATAATTAATTTCCCCCAAAACCCAATATTACCAAATAGAGAAAAATAAATAACCAAAACTTCCCCAAAACATAAATAATAAACTCCAAATTCAGTGATACCAACCCAATAGTATCAAGGACGTTACATCAAAATATATGTTCGAAATGGTCCCGTTCCTCAACTCGGAGAATACCAGAGTTCAACAATAACAACAAAAACTTTCCCCTCCAAGTGTCATGAAACAAGTATCAGCCGATGCGGTGTTGGGCCCAATCACCACACACAGCCACACATGTTCCAGTTACTCACGGCAACGATATGTACGGAAAGAAAACACGTTGCAGACCTGTTTGGTCTGGCAAAACATTGAGAGCGCCGAAATCACTTTGAAAACATTGAGAGCGTGGAAACTCGGGTCCGCGATGCGAGTCACCGACACGTCCGCCCGGCCACGCCCACCGTGGTTAGCTAGCTCGGCTCCCTCGATGGCGACCTCCGCTGCTTCTCCCCGCTCCGTCCGACGGGGTTTCAGCTTTGGTTTCTCCTCCGTTTACAGGCTCACAAACACACCGAGTCCGCGGTCCACTCCTTCCAGCCTCCCGCGCCGGTTTATTCTGACTTCTTGTCTCCTGCTAGCGTTTTTTTTCTCTTCCCCAAAAACGCCGGCGTCCCGTCTCTTCACGACTTCTTCTCTCCTCCTCGAACCCCCAAAAACTTCCAGAACTTTTCAGTCACGTGTCTTCCCCGTTGTTCTCCCAACCAATCACCATTGGCTATACAGCGCGAATACACAACTGACCAATAATACGGTAACAAACAGTAAGTACTAAAAGACTAACGGCCTAAAGCCTCTGGAGATAGTATTTAACTAAACATGAACTTAACATTAGTATTCATCACTATGACAAACATTACTCCATGCACAACAAATAAACATCTCCCCACTTAGAAATCAGGTGTCCCCTATTATGTATTTAATGTAAAATAAACATTTACTTTTTCTTTTTATAGGCAGGCACCTAGTTTTGAAAGTATGACTATAGTCCTAAGGTCACCAGGGGACTACACTTTTTTTTCAACATAAAATCTGAGCCACATGGATCTGAAATTAGAATTCCAAGTGCAAGCTTCCATTTTAACTGGCTCGGCTCGGCGGAATTAGCAATGAGGACATCGGGACAAAACAAGAGAAGAAAGCCACCGAGCCGTTTGTGACGAGACTACGAATTAAACACACCGTCTTAATTAGTGGACTTAACTCTGGGCGTCTTCCACGCAAGTAGTGCAAACTGCTCCAACTGACTTGGCTTAGCTTAGCTTAGCTTAGCTTAGCACAGAGGGTGGTCACTTATTCGGGCCTGGCTCCGTCCAAAGGAAACAAAATCCACCTGAAAGCTTCTTTAGTGCTCGCTAATTAAAATGTTAATCAAGCGTGTTGTGCTTGTGAATTCTTTTAAAAAGTCAGTCTTGCCGTCGACCTCTGACTTTAGGTCCTGGGACGGTTCTGGTTTTCGTGTGATGACGCCTGTTTCTCCGCCCTGCCGGCAGGTCCCTGAACTATGGAGGAATCGGAGCGATCATTGGCCACGAGCTGACGCACGGATATGACGACTGGGGTACGAATGAACCACCTGTCACGAGGCCCATTTACACTGCCCGCTATATTTGTGGCATCTGCCCGATAAAAGACCCTTTTGAGCCACAAACTCAGACTCTTGTTTCCAGTCCAAAGCGCTGCCCTTTGATACCCAGGAGCCTTTTTATAACCCACCAGCTACCAAATACTGGGCTCAAACTGGCAGGTCTGTACCTGCTTCACTTACTGCATTTAACAAAGTGGGTTTCCCGAGAGGTCATCCAGATGTTTTGCTGCCAGTGGTTTGATCCACGAGCTCTGAAGTCCGGCGTCCAGGGCCGCTTTTTTTGGACTGTGAAGGAGAGTCGTACCCTCCGTGCTAACGCTGCCCTCCTCATGTCAGTGATGCGATGCTTCATGTCCGCAGGGGGGCAGTACGACCGGCACGGCAACCTGCGGCAGTGGTGGACGGAGGAGTCCTACAGAAAGTTCCAGAAGAAGGCCGAATGCATCGTCAAGCTCTACGACAACTTCACCGTTTACAACCAGAGGGTTGGTCCTCGCGCACACGCACAAGTCATTACATGCACAGTCATTCATAGACGGGTCGGCCAATAGTTCCTAAAATGGGCAACTATTCTAAAATCGTGAGACGAGAAGCAACTTGATGCAAAAAAAAGTATATATTTCAGTCACACGGATTGAAGTACACGGACGTATGTGGAAGAGACTTCCCGTTTCCTCTCTCCGTGTTCAGGTGAACGGCCGTCTGACGCTGGGGGAGAACATAGCGGACATGGGAGGCCTCAAACTGTCGTACTACGTGAGTGACGTTCGCTGGCTTCCAGAAGCCAAACGGCGCCTCATCGTGTTGTTACCGATTGTTTAATGCCCCCCCAGGCGTACCAGAAGTGGGTGAGGGAACACGGGCCGGAGAGGCCGCTGCCGGGCCTCAAATACACGCACGAGCAGCTCGTCTTCATCGCCTTCGCACAGGTACCGGAGCGCCGCCGCCGCCTCTCGTCCCTTTTTGCGTGTTGAGTCCTTTTAAAGCGGCGGGCAGGCGGGAGTCATGTCAGACGGGGGCGGATCAAAACAAGAACGCCGCAGTGATGACAGAGCAGCGGCTCCAGAGACCCCCTGACGCCCGCCGCCCCCGACGCCCCCCCCGCTGCTCCTCGTAACTATTACGCCGCCATCATTGAAATTCAATGGTTTCATTGAGATTCACGGCTGGATGTGACAGCAGGAAAATGGAGATACATTTTTTAAAGCCATCAACTGTTTAAAGTGATGTGAAAACCACGCGCGCTACATTTAATGTATATGTAGATTTTAATGTGCATAT